TGCATTGTTGTCAGGCCCTGCCTTGCCCCATCCCTGCCTGGCCCTCCGCCCTCGGCCATGTTGTCCCACCTTACCGATGTTAAAATCTGGTCACCCTAGACAAAGGACTTTATTACTAATGGCACAGCCAGCAAACAACATGATTTTCCTTAGTTCCCTCTGCCTCCAATCCTCGTGTGGGCAATGCCATTTGAGCCCAGGTGGATGTATAGCAATGGATTTGTGTTGTACCTGAGGCACACTCATTTGCGGGAAACCACTATTTTATAGCAAGCAGTAATCAAACCTTGTCTTTGTTGTCAAAAAAGATATTGCCTGATTGCTAAAGATTGCTTTCTGCAAACACAAACTTGAGAAATAATGCAGGTAAAGAAAAGTCAGCAGTCAGTGCCTCACATTCTTGTCATACTTAGCAAAGTGTCTGAAGGGCAGGGGACTGGTGGAGGAGTGCCTTCCAACAGACACATGTTTTGAGACAGCCCAATTAGGGAGAACAAGATTTCTTTTTCCTCTAAAATTTGAACCTAGAAAGATGCCCTGTTTCACCTTTCTGTAGCTATCTTATAATTACCAAAAATAGCCCGTCTGAGAATGAAGCCAACATACCACAAGTCAGAGATGAGGAATGAAGACTGGAAAAAAGATTCCAGTTATGGATAAGTGTAACCTGAAGCCAGATTTTCTACTGACCTTTCACTTCTGTGAGCTAGCTGAGTTTTCATTCATTTGCCACTAAGAGTTCTGATGTGACACTTGAAGTGTATTGTTTCATCACAACAGTCTTATGGAAAAGAGGGTCATTACCTTGAACTTGCAGATGAGCAAAATGTGTGTCATGAAGATTAACTGGCCTAGCATGACGCAACAGATAGACTGGAGCCATGTCTATAGACCGCAAGCTGCACATTCTCGATGCTTACACCTTTCATCCTTAGGCTTTAGTGGATTTTAGAGTTATTTAGAACTACCCCAGACCTAATGAATCAACATCCTTATGGTGGATGTAGAGAATATGCATTTGCATAAGTTCTCAGGTAATTTCAAGGCGGGGCTTGTGGACCACTTGTTGAGAAACATTTGCCTCAGAAGAAGATGTGATTTGAGGGACACTGCTACCTACTAGTCTGACACGATGTCCTCATTAAAAAGGTTTCCTTTAGCAGTAGCAACAATTACCCTTGAAAACTTGTTAGTTATGTAAACTGCAAATCAAAAGAAATTATTTTTTGAGAAGAGTTTTATTGGGTGAAGTGGGTAAATTTAGAAAACATAGGATCTTGAGCCGGGGGGCAGAAAAGATGAAAATGTGACCAGAAAAAGGTAAGAAGGAAAAAAAAAAACAATCTTGAAGTTCAATTTCACCAATCATTGCCAAAGATGTTAGTTTCCTTTAATTAATCTGTGTGTGTGTGTGTATGTGTGTGTTAATATTCGGTATCAGAGTTTATATACAGGGAAACTTGAGAGTCTTTTGAAAAAGACATCTAGATATCTGTGTGGTTTGCTGGTTACAGTGGCTCTTTGGACATAATGGAGAATGTTTAATTTAATTATTGACTTTGAATAGACATTTTGCCACTGCTAATAAGATTAGCGAGATTAATAAATTGTTCAAGGATTATAAAGACAGAAAGAACACAGAGAGAGCTATTGTTCATCAATATTTGGACACCCTTTCCCAGAATAGTCAGGTAAGTCACACATGCTCAGGTAAAATATTACCCTGCTTGCCTATCATGTCTTGGAGTTTTTTTTTCTCCCTCTCTCTTTTTAAATTTAAGTGGAGTATCAGTGGTCTTTTGAGATAGATATTTTGTTGTGAAAGTCAGAACAATTTCTGCACATGATATTCTATAGCGATCTCTTCCACATAAATGATAGATCCTCCAAGTAGAATTGAATTCATAGTAAGTCTTTGTGTTCTCAAAATCTTAAATCTGGGAGTACACGAGGTCTTCATGGCTAACAGTTCCAGGCTTGTAGACACTGAGGAGGGGGGTGGAGTTAAACTGCCCTGAAGAGGTAGGAGGTTAGCTGATAGTATTTCCCATTCTCATTTCCTTTGAGGCTTGCTGTCCACTCAAAATTGAAGATTTGGATCAATCTGACTTAAAGAGATGTTTGTTTCTGAAGTTTTAAGTTATTACTCCAAAGAGCATGCTTGTGGTCTTAGTATTAAAATAGGTGTAATATTTCTAGCTTTTAGAAATAGCTTTCTAGCTTTTAGTTATAAAGACTGAATTTAATAAATGTTTTGAGGATAATAAAGTTTATTATAAAAGAGAAAAATCTACCCACAAACACTTATTTAAAAGCAGAACTTCTTTTTAAATGATGCTCCCCTTTCTCCAAGAATTTGACAAATAGATGTTTTCATATTTTATTTTTAACTGGTCCATTCAATTCGTTGGCCTCCTCAACTCTGCAATCATTGACACACAGCTTCCTTTTCCTTCTAGTTGAAGGCAGAAGCTCAGTGGTATCTGATTATCCCTGACAAGGGTGCTCATCATAAACCTGCCTCCAGATATTTAACAATAAATGATCCTTTACAATATTCCCTGTCTACCTCACATAGAAACCATGTCACAGTGTTGAACTCATCACCCTTCCTTTAATGACAACAAACTAAAACTTGTTGCATGAAAAGCAAGATATCTGAGTATGTAGAAGAGGTTCCCATTAGCTCAAAGGTATATAGAGCACCAAGAAAGAAGCACAGAGGTCCAAGTACTGTGTTTTGTAAGTACCCACTATTGTAACTGTTATGTGAACACCTGTCAGTCATTTCAGCTGAATACCTAACTTCTCTGATGTGATACACTGGAATAAAAAAAAAAGAAAAGAAAAGAAATGAACAAGATTTCCAAAACAGAATCCTAACAACAAAGTGTTTTTTTTCCAGAAGATCAATGTAAATATGATATCTGTTATTTGTTTAAAATACATTGAAATACAGTATCATTTTAAATGTATCTTCCATACTATTCTCCAGGAGAACTTCATTACCTTTTCTTCAAGCCAAAACTGTACATTCAACACGTTGTGCATTGGTCAGGGTTAAAATGGACGAGGCATCCAAGTTTTCAAATATGATTCTTTTCAATGGGTATTGTGTGAGAAGATAGCCCGGGAAATACTACTCAGGGAACATAAAGGTCACTTGTAAGAGAGATAATAGTTCACAGACATTAAACTGATACATTTTAACTTCCTCTATAAATCAACTTTCACTTCAGTCTCTCCCCCGAGGCTCATCACAGTAGGATAGTGGAGGACTGTCTCAAATTTTTAGGAAATGCAAAAATGCTT